ATATAATGCAGTTTTAGAAATTTATTCCACATAACTCTCTTACGACACTTTCCTCGAATGAATTCATTAAATCAACTGAATCAAGTTTGGATTCAATGAACATAGATAAATAAAACCAGGCTGCAAGGGACCATACCTTTTTCTCCAATAACAGCTAACTACCCAAAAGTAAAGATGTCAACAATATAAAATCATAATCACAATCAAGCATTATCTAACTATATATCACATTACCAATCATTAGGTATACACAAAATTCATATGATAATAGAACTAGTTTCATGAGATATACCGTGCTTCCCCAGCGATCTTCGGAATCAATTTCAGCCCCATTATCAATTAACAGCTGCACAACATCACTGTAACCTTGGCAAGCAGCAACATGTAGGGCAGTCCTCTCATCATCATCTCGAAAGTTCACATCAGTCCCCGAATCCAAAAGCTCCTTGATCCCTTCTATATCACCCTCATTAGCAGAATACATCAGCCTGATCCTTGGATCAATATCTATAACATCCCCTTCCTCCCCATCTTCACTCTCAATTTCCACTGCAGCAATCACCCTTTCTGGTGCAAGGGACGATTGCTTACCCAACAAGAATCTTACTGGTTCCATTTCAAGATCAAGATTCCAACAACTAATCTGCTTGAACCCCTTTTAAGATCTGCAGCCCCTCAACCTAACAAGCCTACTGAAACGTAAATTTGACTTAAAAAGTAGTAATAAAGAACATTACAGCTTAAGAAGCACAAAACAAGCAACAAAGATCAAAGCTTTTTCAAGAATCAAAAATCTGCAAAAAGGGTGTCAGCTAAACTTAATGCTTCATACTAGGGCTATTCAAGAAACCAAAGATGGCAAAAGGGTATTCTTGAAACTTATTATTTCAACCAAATTTAGGATCAGAGGTGAATAAACTTGAAAAAGAATAGATTTTTCTTCCTTTTTTGTTTGAAAAATTTAACAGTTGAACAAGATAGTTTAAAGATACTAATAATAACAGGGTCTACTTGAAAAAAAAAACACGAGACTTTGCTTTCAATGGGGGCTATTTAAAGGATAAGAATTTGATGTCTTTGAGCGTTTCAAAGGGTTTTAGGAAAGTGAGAAAAATAGGAAAACAAGTGGGGATTGGTGGACGTTGACAATTGGAAATAAGGAAGAAGGTGCGTGGTACTCACGCGTCAACGGGTGCGACTGGTGGAGAATCTGATTTTTCTGTGAAACGACGCGCAAGTTGGTCGGAAGGGAAGTTAAACCAACTGTAACGAACGGGGCCAGTTTGTAATTTCATCTAAATATTGGGGCTGTTTCAACATTTTTTATTCTTAAGGGGGTATTTAAGCGTACGGAGAACTTATATTTTCCAATTTGATGGCTAAGGATTAATTTACAAGTTGCGGATCGATATGCGTAAAATAAAAATAAAAATATAGTAAATTATTAAGTCATGATTAAGGTTGAAAAAATAAGTTCATTGTGCATTTTAACTATTTTACGACGAAAAAGGAACAACGATGTCATTTTCCGTTTTCTTATTTTATCCTCCCTACACATGACTGGAACTTGATTATAACATGGAATGAACTTAATGTAGTAGGTACAATATGGCTCTTTGTAGTTTATATTATAGTTAAGTAATTAATCAAATTTGCGTTCTAGATTATTTAAACTTGAAAGTCTTTGTTTCCTTATAACTAGATTACGATAATATTGAAAAATGTGATAATTGAATTGACAATTTCTTAGTTGCTTTCAAAACAAAGTAACAAAATGCTTTAACCTCAACTCAACATGATCTAAAGTTAAATTAAAATATAATGGGATTATACTTGAATTTCAAGTCAACTCATAAATTGTTTTATGGATTTACTTAAACACTAAGTCAAGGTAGACATGCCTTGTGTTATGGATTTGTATTGCTTTAGTAATTAATTTGCTTTTAGTTATTCTAGTTCTAGTTGGAAATAAGAGTCTATCCAATTAGGAGTGTTTTAAAAGATCATAACTAAAGTAAATATATACGTATGTCAAATACTTGAAATATATACTAGAATAAAATTCTAATATTTTTACACTATTACAATAAAATTTAAATATTTTTACACGTTCTTTTACTTCCGTGTCAAGTTTATTTTTAGATTATGATATAAATAAATAGAAAAAGAATTTCAATATAATATGATTAAAATCATTACCGCCAATTAATAATTTAATCATGATTAATATCAGTTTCAGTCTTATATTGTTATAAGAACCTATAAGTCTATTGTTTACGTATTAAACATTTTAACATAAATTTACTTATTAATTCCTGGAGTTAAATTAATAAGCCCCTCGCATAAAGCAATACTTGAAATGGTTAGTGCACGATCTATTTGGATAGTTTATGTGATGCCTTTTGATTGAGTGCGGAAATTTAAGAAAATATAAAAAAGTTTTGCAATGTTCCAACTTCCAAATCTATTTCTAAAATAAATACGTAATTTTTTTCTTTTTTTTAATAGAAGAGTTTTATATTTATGAATTTTTTTTGCCGAATAAAAGGAATCTAATATAGATAAAATGTCGATAGTATCATTAAATACTAAATAAAAAAACACATCATTCTTTTCAAAAATGACTAATGTAATTGAAATAGAGAAAAACTATACGAGTTAAAAGAAAAAAGAAGTTAAAATTAATGTATAATGAACCTAATTTATTTTAGGACTCTTTATTTTATTTTACGATGAATGGCACGGGAATCCGCGTAAGGGTGCATTTTCTTTTTGTTTACTTTTATCTTATGTCATAATGTATTTTCTTTCAAAATACTTTCGGCAATCATACAAAAGACTTCTCTTTATATTTTCTCACCACTTTTTATTTCGTGTACTTCACAAGGTCTTTTTATTAGATAATTTAATCCTCTAATAATTTGCTCACTTTCACAAATTATAACGTTTATGTTTCGATATAATAATGTCTTGAACCTGACTTATATTTTAAAATTTATTAGCACAAAACATTATAATGAAAATAGCTTTTAACAGTAATAAATAAAAATATTAATAAAAAATATGTCATTAGATTCAATGTTACTAAAACCTTTAGAGACATATACAAAAATTGTTAAGTACTGCTAAAAATACATATTTAAATATAATAAGAGAAAAAGAACCGTTCAAATCATTCGTTTTATTAATCATTGATATGCATCATTTTTTTAAAAATTCTTTTTAACACCAATACAACAAAATATTAAGATTGAACTCAATTGGAGGTTAAGTGTTACAATTCCAACGTCAGACCATAAATAAAGATTAAAGAACACGTTATTTTGATGTTTGAGTTGGCACATCACACGATAACAAAGTGCAACTTTGTTTACAAATTGGCAGCAAAATAAATGAATGTGACATAATATATGATTTGTCACGCGCTCTACTGCATGCTCTTGCAAATTCTAAAACCTCCAATTTTGAAATTTGAACCTTACTGCTAGAACAAGTGAAAATTAATACTACTATGATCATTTGTAATTTGAATAAAAAAGATTGTCCCATTAAATGTTTTTATTTACTTGTCTATATTTTTTTTTATATTTATTGATTATTTTAATAAATTAAGAAAGAACAATAGTTTTTTTTCTAATATGCCCTTATTTAATTTTAGAAAACTTCTAGTACTATTAAGTTGTAATAATCTTTTAAGTTAAAAGTAAAATTATAATTAATCTGTGATAATAATTGATATCTTAATATGTGTGTCACCTCTAAAGTGAATAACTAAATAGGAATAGATGGAGTATTTTCTTACGACAAATTATATAGAGTAGATTTGGACGATTGACGATGCTTAATAGTTAGTACATATCTGATTTATATTTGGGGTGGTCCCAGGTTTACGATTTTTATTTTTATCCTTATCATATACTATGACAGTAGGAGTATTTGTTTTGTTTTTTTAATTATTATTGCACGATATCCTTGGTATATTCGTCTGTCACTAATATAATTTTGAATATTTCAACAAAAAGTTTATTGAAGGTAATATACCGTCTTGTTTTCTAGCTCGTCAGGTTGAATAAAAATCAAGTTGACGTTAAAGAAAAAATCAATGGCTAGCTATAACATTCATCTATATCATAAAGTCGTAACTAAGATTAAAAGCCATCTTAATAGTTCACATACATTTAATTATTAACATGACTATTTGCAGTTGTACAAGTTGAACTTGAAGAACTATTCTTTTCTTTATAGTTTATATATATTTATTGTTACCCCAGAATCGACGATCATCATTTATCTACTCATGTTTTAAGGAAAATATAATTATTTATTTTTTCATGAAAAATATTTTTTGTTCAAGTCTTATCTTATAAATTACAAATTACGTGTCTTGGTTGCATATTTCTTTCACTAATACAAAAGAGTAATTTGTAAAAAAAAATGTGTATGCTAAAAATGTATCTTGATCAAAATTGACCAAAAAAATACTAACCCAATAAACAATAGTATTACATTTCGATTTCCTAAAATTTCGTGTATTTTAACTTATTTCCGCTGTTCAATGTACCACTAGCAAGTGGGAATTGTTTGAGACTTCTTGAATAAGAAAATCAGATGTTTAAATGTTGAATCTTTAATGTTCTTTTAATATGTTTGTCGGGCGGATGACTAATTTAGATAGTTAAACATTGTCTCGCATTTTAATTGTATAGGCTTGGTGATGGATAGTTAAACATTGTCTCGCATTTTAATTGTATAGGCTTGGTGATGGACGATAGTTTAGTTCCCCGTACCTGTTTCTCCTTTAGTAAGGCAATTATCACGAATTGTTTCTTGTGTTTTGGTTATTGCGTCATTATTTTTACCTCCATGAGATAAGGTAAAGTCTGTTTACTCTATTTTTTTGAAACTCTACCCGTGAGATTACACTGGATTTGTTATGTTATTGCCCCTCTCACTGTTTTGCATGTTCTAGTTAAACGCATGTAAAGGAAAGGAAAGGCCAATAGTACTAAAGGTTCTTATTTATAGCACATAAAAAGAGTAATACAACTTTTGCAAAGTTCAACCTTGCAGGCTGCAGCTGCAGTTCAAGGTGTGTAAGGTAAAAATGTAAACGAGATGAGATTCGGCTCATGGCCAACAAATTATTAGCTTTTAGCATGCTAGTTATGGCTGAAGAGAGCACTCCTCCACTGTCTCCCATGATTTGCAGCTTTTATCTTCAGTGTCTGTTTTACACAATGCAAGATGAGATATCGGGAAGCTCAAGCTGGAAATGCCCTCGTCGAGGATATAAGCCTTTTCTTGAGCTTTCTTCTTTTCTTCATCGGTTAAATCTCCGTAAAGAAGGCTCAAATGTGGCATATATGCTGCATGATCACGAAAGTAAGACATCAGCCACAGAAAATATAGCCCATATGACAATGTTAGGCAAAAACAAATGTTGAAAGAAAATCAAAGAAGGGGGCAAGGCGGGAGTGAATAACTTTTCCTGAAATCACCAAACTCAAAAACTGATGTAAGAATCATCGTTTTTAAGAAGTGGAAACAAATGGTAGACTAGCATCGGTGTTCAAAAATTATGGTTTTAGTATTTGACATGTTGTCTCTATTGAATATCAGTGAGCTTCCTTTTGCTATCTTAAAGCTAAAGAAGTTCATCCACGGGGTGGGGTATATGATGAAGAGTGGGGCAAGGTGGCAGAAAATAAGAGGGGAAGGAGAGCTCGAAAGACCGCTTTTCTACAGAAGTGAAGGACTGTAAGAAAATTGAGGGAATAGAAATCAGGGGAGCTATTTTTATTACTACTAAGGAAGTTCAAAATCTGTTTGTGTAAGAATACCGAGTAGTACAGTACAATCTTTGGTGAAATTAAAAAGGGATGAGTGTTGTCTCCATATTCTAAAATCTATAATTCAAGAACGCATCTAGGAAAAGATGAACCGCAACCTGTTTTGGACTGAGGAATAGTTGTAGTCACTGTTGTACTAAAAAGAAAATACCAAGGAGAAATACACTTTTTGTGACTAGAGAAGCTGAATGGGGCACAAAATCTAAAGAAAAAAATGTTTATCTTACATCCCGATCTGTTGTAACCAAAGTGACTGCAGCAGAGAGCACTTGCTTCCACAACCTGGAAGAGGAGAACAAATATCAGGTCACTGATGTCAGCAATTGCACCAAAATTTATACACAAGCAAAGCCTGGTGAAACATAAGACTGCTACTGACATTATTTTTTTAACTCAAACATAACAGGTGAATAAGACTGCTTCTCCACCCAAAAAATGTATGAAATAGATTGAAGTATCTATACATAATGATAATATGTACATACAACATACTCGTTACCAAATTTTAAATTCAGGAAAAGAAAAAGATTTAACAGTATACAAGTAATACCCAACTAATTGAAGAAAATTAAAAAGGAGAATGCTCAAGGAAGAAAATCTAAGGTGTAAAGCATGTAGAGGGTGTTCAAGGGTATAGAGCCAACAGTTTGAAACTTAAATTGTGCAGAGGACTATAGGCCAAATACAAAAGCGTTAGCATGATGATACTTCGCTCTGCATGGTTGACTCAGGGAATTTAGAGCCCATCTCACTTTGAATGAATCTCAAAGCCTGTTTGACTGCTTTCTCAGGCATTGCTCCCATAGAACTCTACACAGATATTTTTAGTCAACCTGCCTTCATTTCCTTGAGAATGTAACACAAATGAAAAATGTAAACCTTTGGCATCTCATTAAAATAAGAGTTTCATTACACTTCCATGTTTCAGTCTCTCCTTATGCTATCATTTCTAAAACACAAACGTATGCCTTCCTAGGAAATAAGCAAATGGAACAGACACAAAAGGGAAAATATGAGGAGGCAAGATAGAGGTGAAATTAAAGAAAATTATGTTATTTCCTTTGGTCTGGGTGAGAAACAAGGATGGGACCAAAACTTTTACGGCTTATCTTTACCGTGGAAGTAGTTAGTAGGCTCAAGGGAAAAGTGAGCTGGTTCTTTACTCTCCCTCCTTTCCTACGCAGAACAAACCGAGAAGGGAAGTTTTTGCAACTTACCAGTTCTCTTCATTTGTTTAGTTCCCAAGCTTAAATCTCAGATCGATTATGTTTTATACTTATAATGAAAGCTATCTGATCTCCATTATTATCTGATGTATTCTTCCTTACTTCCTTTTCTCTTTATTCTTTGTCCTTTAAGCAAAAGCTTTCACTACGTAATCAGGGTGTTTTCACTACAAAGGGTAAAGAGATAAGAAAAGAAAGCTACCAATATCGCATCTCATAGTATCATCATACCATCTCAAAAGAAATGCTTTCAGATACACTAATGTATTTGCTCCAAGCCCATCCACTAATCTGTGTCCACAATTGATTTCTATCCAGGTGATAGCAAGTGTAGACAAGGAACACTCAATCCTACTAGCAATTTTGATATACTAGATTGTGGACATACAATACCGTATATGACTCCTTTACTATTACGAGACCAGAAGGTAGAAAACTACTTCATGATCATACTTGTGGCGTTTAAGTACAATTTAAATAGGACTAGCACCTGGTCATACGTGGAACTATAAATTCTAATCTTTCTTCTTTAAGTAAGAGTTCAGAGCTTTTCTCATCCAAAGCAATGACTTTTCATTTCTTATCCACTAAACTCCATCATTCTAGAGACTCTAGGCAGCCCCATTTAGATACATTACAGTACATATGACTATATGGAAGTACAGCAAACTAGACTAATCTTCCCGCATGTTATCTTAATAAATAATCCACTTTGTTGATTGCGAAATTCCCCATTTGTTTGTATTCTTTGTTTAAGGCTTAAGCTCCCATTAGCCAAAAAATCAACCATTTTCGACATCAAATATTTAACAAGCCACTGAACAAATTACCATCACACAAGCTAAAGAAAACACAACATTGTTCATCAAGAACAATATTTGAAATTACCAAGAACAGTACATATCAACCAATAAAAACCTAAAACCAGTGAAGAAGTTGCAAAATTTTACCTCAGTGGTTGGATGAAGCAAAAGGTAAACACACTGATAATAGAAAGTGCCACTATCAATCTTCTCCACTGTAGCACTATAAGCTTTCACTGTCTCACAAGCTTTTTTGAACCTGTCACGTGCCTCAGCCTCCGTCAACCGAATAGCTCCGATGACGGTCACGTGAGGTTCAAACTGAGGCCCACCAAATTCCGATCGGAGACCCTCCATCAACTTCTTCACCCTAACTCTCACCTCCTCCCTCGGCAGAGCCCAAACAGAGTATACATGTTTTTCCAATACTGCCTCACTGATTTGTACCTGCTGCATAACAGCTGTACCAGCCTCCATGAAAATTGTACTGAAATAATTGGAATCGACAACGAAAACCAAGGGATCGATCTGATGAATTAAAAAGTTTCGGGTGCCAAGAATTGATTTTTATGGTTTGATTAATAAGTATTCGTTTTGATCGCTCTTAAATGGATATATGCTCCACCCAGCGCGGTGGTAATTTTCGATTCCAGAATATTCTCCTCTTTTCTTTTTTCTCCGAATGTTTGTAGTCCCATGCAGCAAAATATCATAATTCTGGTAAATATTTTAAAGAATTTTTTGAATGTAATGATAATTAACAATTTTGTGTTAAATATATTAAAGAATTATATTAACTTGATTGTCGTGGAATATTTTTGCAGAAATATTTGTATACGAAAAAAGAAAAAATTGTTATCACTTATTTGTTGAGTGAAAGTCAGAAATTCCAAAACCCATTACATTTCCAGTATATTTTATAAAGTGCGTTTATTGTTTTTAATTCTTATTTTAATCCACTTAGAACTCTTGTTCTTGCTCTTTTTGATAATTTAAATTTATAATCTTTACTCACAACTTCTAACCTTAAGAGTCAAAGATGAAAACGTACCCTTTTTGAATGCAAACATACTACGAGTATGAATGTAAGCTAAACTCGCAATTTTCAAGTTAAAAGAACGTAAGCAACCTTTCAATAAAAATGTATTCTTTTTTACTTTCTTAGAGTGCTTATTATTCAAAGCACCCGTGCTCTTTTTTTTTGCTTTCTTAATTTTTCAAACTCGCAAATTTCATAGTATATGAAGGTTAGAAAGGAAGTAAGCGACCTTACAATAGAAATGTATGCTTATTTATTTTCTGGATGATTTAAATTCGAAAATATTTACCTCTCAATAAAAATAAATTTTTTTTTCTTGATGATTTAAACTCGCAACCTTCAAATTAAAAAAAAAATAAAAAATAAGTGAAAAAAATATACTTACCATCCAAATAAGCACCCTCTCAGTAAAAGTGCTTTTTCTTATAATTTCTTAAGGATTTAAAGCCTGTTTGACTCAGCTTAAAAGCTGATCAAACTGATTTAAAAGTTGATTTTTGACGTTAAACTAAAAACCTTCAATTTAAAAATGCGAAAGAATTCTTGCTATCAAGAAAAAAAAAATGAGAAGGGCTTGCCATCCAAAAAAATTCCGCTACCATCCTTCCAAGCAAATAATTTGCTAATTAACGTGACAATTTTATTATATTATTTTTTTATTTTGAGATGTCCCAGTTATATGCTTCTACACATCCTGGCAATTAAGTTCGAAACGACAGGGCCTCAAGTTCTCTAAATTTGTTTAGATAGATGCATACTTCAAAGTTGCTTTGTTATTTTACAAAACCGAAAAATAGAAAGAAGAGCAGTATATATAATGTCAAAATCTTTTTGACTTATTAATCTGCTGCTGCTCGTCGTAATCTATGGAAAAGGAGCAATCTTCTTCATCTCTACATCCTCAACATGGATCTCAAAGCATTTGCCGTGCTGTTTCCAGTAATCCGCCTCGGGATTAATCCACTCCGGCTCCGCTATCTCCAGCCTCGTTCTCTTTATTGCATCCGTCGATATATTATACCTGTCATCTCTCTTCTGAATTAGCTCTGGCTTCACCATCCCCAAATTCACCGCCTGTGGAGACATCATCAGTGACGGTGGCCCAACCGGTAGCTTATCACCTTTTTTTTTTATCAATCACAAAATCAAATATAATTTGAAATCAGGATAATATTTTAATTCATACTGTGAACACCGAATCAGGAATATTACGTTACCGTTATTACCTCTATCTGTTTGCCATGTGCACCAGAATTTGCCATACGTTTTCGCAAAATTCTCGAGATCTTTTTTCACTACCATCTCTGGAACTCTAGGATTCACCCACAATCCTGATTTTACCTAAATTTTCCCCATTTACACACAAGATCAAATAACAAATAAGAAACAAGCCTCTGTATCATGAATACAACGATTTCTACAGACAAATCTCGTAAATTCGACAACAATTCATGTGGTGCAGACACATTTTTTTTTTAGGAACAAACCTCATAAGCATGAGAGTGCCAAAGTTTCTGTTCTTCTTTAGGTAAGGTTTCAAAGATACGATCAGATACTATATACTCCACTCCTTCACACACAACAAAAAAAATCATCAGTTATCAGCAAAATAGAAATTCAAAATCTGAATAATCATATATAAAAGGATAAATACCGATAAGCCGGGCGTTGGAATGATCAGAGTCGTAAACAGCACATTGTAGAAAATCCTGATTGACTCGCGTGACATAGTGATGAGTTTCGATTTGTCGATTCATGTCATGATTGTAGAGTGCAAAAGTGCAAACATGTTGATTCATTTGCTTAATTGGTTTCAAAGACTGCAGCATTTGAGCTCCTTTGTCTAGTATGTGTTGCTCCGTTGTCATGGCCTTTCCTGGTGGTATCTGCTCCCCATGGCTCCCTGCCGTTGTTGCAGCCATAGATTGGATCAATATTGAAAAATAAATTTTGAAATAGTTTTTTTATGAAAAGATAGGAGATTTGCTCTGGGAAGATGTTGATGATGTTCTGTTTTCAGGGGATTTTGAAGAGGATTTGTGGGTTATGTTGCCAGGTGGACATGCAAGAGGGTATGAGGTGGCAATTGGATGCCACGTAGTAACATGGTGTTAAGCATTTGGCGACACGTATTCAGTATTTGTTTCGTCATAGATGGAAACATGTATAGAGTTCCATCAAAATACAGAGAGTAAAGACAAAAGATCACAAAAACACAAACAACAATAACATATTGTATCCGTACAAAGACACTTAAATTCGTATATAATAAAATTAAATAAATTGACACATCATGATTTTGTATTTATTTATTTAATTTTATATAATTTAATATCTATTTATGCATGTTTAAAAATTTAAAAATTATAATTACCAACGGACACAAATTAAAAATTATATTTATAAATTATGCCCTTTAGAATCTTCTTTGTTATTTCAATTATCAAACCACGAAAATAAATTGAAACTAGCAAATATCCAGAACTTGTTATTGAAGTACAAGTTTCACTCTTTTTTTCCTCTTAAATTTCATACATAATTAAACGATAGTACATGAATAGTATATACATTGCAACGGACCAAGTAATATAAAATATTTAATCATGACATTACACATTTTATGTTTCATTAATTTAGTTATTATGATATTGAAACTCGATGGCCTAAGGTGATGCATGTACTTAATATATTTTCAATAATATCATAGACAAAACAGAGTTGCTCAAATGGTAACACTTCGAAAGGAATAAAAGAAATGTTCAAATCAATTACATTATTAAACACATGAAAGCATAGATACACTATGCTAATACTACATACTAATTGATGCATATAGAGAGATCATTATACTAATTGATTGATCATATTTCTCATGGAAAAGGTGCAGTCTTTTTCATATCGGTGAGTTCCACATCAATGGCAAAGCCTTTGCCAGTTTGCATCCAGTAGTTTGCATAAGGATTCATAGTCGTCTTTGGCCCTGCAATATCCGCCCTCGTCTTTTCCAAATCCTTTGAAGAAATGCCATATTTTTCATCCCTCTTCTTCACGAGCTCCGGTGCCACCATGCCCAAATTTACACCTTGTGGAGACATCATCAATGCAGGTGCTCCAAGTGGAAGCCTATCACCTGAACCATCACCAAAATATTTACTGTATTTTGACATAGAGAGATGACCCCAGCAGTAAAAAGAGAAGTTAGGTTCAGGCCAATCGATCCTATTTCGATCATAGAACTCAGGGTTCTAAACAGAAAATGACATTTGAAAGTAGAGCAAGTATTAGTAGCATAACAAAACGGGGTTCCTCATGAGTTCTAGTACATTTGAGACTTCTTAATTGGTTAGTTGTAAATAGTCCCAGGGCAATGGGACAGAGGATTACCTCGGACCCCCTTGTTTGCCAATTGAAGAAAACTCTTATGGCTTCAAAGAAGCTATTAGTCAAAGCTCGCTAGCTGCAATTTCAAAAAATTTAAGCCTGGGACGAGTCTCAGCATTTCAGAAGGAAAAATGATTTCTTTTTGAGTTAAAAACATACCATTTATCAAAAATTAAAGGAAATAAAGGTATTACGACTTGCCTCGATCAAGTTGCCAGGTGCACCAAAACTTGCCATAAGTTGGAGCAAGATTCTTAAGTTCTTGCTTTTGGACCATCTCTGGAACTTTTGGGTTCACCCAAAGTCCTGCTATAATCTGTATATTTAAAATACTCTGAGTTTACCATCTACCCGTAGAGAGTATTCATTTGTCAATTTTCATAGTTTTTTTTTTTTGAATAATTTAGGATGTCAAGAATTTAACAAAAGAGTTAAATGGACCAAATTACCTCGTACTCATGACTGTGCCATAGCTTCTGTTCTTCTGCTGGAAGAGTTTCAAAGATTCGATCTGATATTATATATTCTATTCCTGCACTATCACAAATATTCACTAAAGAACATGATTTTCCCATACTCATCATTGAGAACATCGACTCAACATCAATCAAACAAATCAAGAATTGAAAATCTTAGACAACAATTGAATTACCAATAAGACGTCCTTTAGAATCATCAGAATCGTAAACAGCACACTGGAGGAAATCCTGATTGACTCGACTCACATAGTGATGCGTCTCGATCTGTCGAGTGATATCGTGGCTGTACATAGCGAAAGTGCAAACATGTTGGCTCATCTGCTTGATGGGTTTCAAAGACTGCATCAATTGAGCGCCTTTGTCTATAACATGCTGCCCAATTGTCATTGATTTTCCTGGAGGAACAGAGCCATCGCCCGGGGGCATAGCTCCTGGTGCCTCATCACTAGAAGCCATATCTGTGATTTGGGAGAGAAGAGAAACTGAGAATTATAGAGGTGGAAGAAACCACGTGGGCACTTTGTTTAGATCCCACGTAGCATATCATAGATTATTTTCTACCTAGGGTGGTACTCCAAAAGGTTAAAATATTGTTCGACTAGTTGATTATATTTTTACGGTTAAAATAAAGTTATTTGTATTCTTGCCGTCTACAAAATTATCATCCCTCAATTAGATGGAAAATCTAAAATCAATAAAAATAATCAGATTTTGTAAATCAACCGATTTCAATAGAGTTATTTTTGTTATGTTTGAATTTTTTTCATCCAATTGAGGGGTATATGTGATAAGTTTATAGACGGTAGAGGTAAAAATAACTTT